AGTCCACCCAGCCCGTTCCTCCCCCTGCCACCGCTGTGCCCAACAGGCCAGGCATCTCGCGTTTATGTCCACCATAAACGCGAGACGCCTGGCCTGTTGGGCACAGCGGTGGCAGGGGGAGGAACGGGCTGGGTGGACTAGCTGGCTGGGGAGGGGGGGAGCCCTTTAAAGCCCTGCTGCCGCGTCCCGGCGCCGTCTGCCATAGAGCGGGTCCCGCTTGCCTCACCGGCCATGAAGCTCACCGCACGTCACTGGTGTGCGTGTGCATACGCACACATAGAATGCCCAGCTATGTGACCCAGACATTAATGGCTATCTGAATCAATCAGCCAAACACAAAAAATTGAGGCAATGAACAGCAGGAACAATATCAATACTCTGGACAAATAATGTAGACAGATGCTCTAGAAAAAAACAGTTAGCTTGGCAAAGCTGAGAGAAATAGAAGAATGGGAAGACCAGGAATAACACAGATGGATGAGATCAAGGAGATTATAGAAAGAAATTGCTGCTGATGGTTACTAAAGATAGGCTGAGATGGAAAGCATTTCTCTGTGCAAATCAATAGCTCCTATCTAACTAGCAAACCACCCCTGTTAACAGAATCACAGGAATGCTCTGTTAATTTTGTGCAGATGCTAATATATGTGCATATGTATTGGAAAAGAGTGTGGAGCATAACAAATAAAACAAATTAAACAAAACAAGATTATTTTTCTTCCCCTTTGCACACCAACAACCTCAATCAAATTCTGAAAATTACATCAAAGTACCCCTGAAAGGCTTGGCTGGCTGACGCAGAATATCACCACCTGACCAGGATATAAATAAGCTGCCTTCTGCTTTAGAAAGATCAAAACAGAGCAGGTAATGGTATTCCTTGTGACACTCTATTGAAGTGAAAGTTTGAAGAAGCAGGATAGAAAGAATATTGACACTTTTGAATTTTGGTGTTGGGGAAGACTCCTGGGAATAATATAGACAGCCAAGGAAACAAACGAGGGGGGCATTGAACAAATCAACTTAAGAGTTTTCGCTCAGTGTGCAAATGACCAGGCTCCAATTATCCAACTTCAGACACATGCGACGATCTGTCTCTCAGGAGAAGGTTCTAGAGCTGGCAAAGGGGAAAGGAAAGGGAAAAGAACAAGCAATAACAAGTGGATAGACCAGAGGTGGGTTCCTACCAGTTNCTTTTCAGGGGCAGCCCCATGTCATCCGAACTTGCTTGGGAAAGTTGCAAATAATGATCATATGACCCCAGCATATCATAAATACATTCCAGTGGCCAAGCACCCAAATTTTGGTCATGTGGATGCTGTGATGGTCATATGTGCAAGGACTGGTTATTAGTCATTTTTTTCCTATGCTGTTGTAACTTCAAACAGTCACTAAAGAAATAGTTGTAAGTTAAGAACTACCTGTATTTTAGTGATTATATTCATGACTATCTGCAGTTTTCATATCTGTAAATTTGCGAGTCTGACATATAATTTAAGAAAACTCAGCTATTTGTAATCTTTAGAAAATGGAACCATTGAAGAAAAGGTCTTTAAAATCAAGCAATTCTAATTAATGGCCATTTGAGCTCATTCTATGATTAACTAAAATTTATCTGACCTATTTGTTCTGTGTTGTCAGTTCCGGTGGTCACTTCTCTTTTTCTTTTCTTCCCATTATTCAGTGCAAACTTGTCTGGATTTATTAGGGGTAGATAAAAAGTATCTTGGGAAGCCCTTAGGAAGCCACCATTGATAGTTTGCTTCTGCTGGTTTCTAGGCTTGGTGTCTAAAACTAGATCATTTGGCAAAAGGGCTGAATGCTTATCAATGACATCAGTCTCAGATTTGACTCCTTTAGAACAAGTCCCTGCAAAGTAAGAGAACACATCACAGTAGTTGTTACTCCACAATCAAATTATGAACATACCCTAATTAAAACTAACATGCTAAAAGTTTATGATTAATGTATAATCACATATAATGCAATTATCTATATGTCTACCAAAAAATAAACTGAATACAGGTCAATATGTACCATGTTTTTGGACTATAAGACGCACCGGAGTATAAGATGCACCATGATTTTGAAGAGTTAAATTTAAAAAAACGGTTTTTTTGCAAAAAAAAAAGGGGGGGCATGCAGAGGGTTTGGGAGGCTTGTAGAGTGCTCTTGGCGGGTGGGGGGCAGAAACAAGGAGACAAGCAAACAATGGTCCTTTTTCGCAAAAACAGGCCATTTTTTGCAAAAAAGGGGGGGCATGCAGAGGGTTTAGGAGGCTTGTAGAGTGCTTCTCGGGGCTGGGGGGCAGAAACAAGCAAAAAAGCCAATTTTTCGCTCGTTTTTGCCCACCCCAGCCCCCAGCAGCACTTTGCAAGCCTCCCAAACCCTCTGCACACCCATTTTTGCAAAGGGGGCGGGGTTTCGGGAGGCTAAAAAAATGCTGCATTCAGAGTATAAGACGCACCTAGATTTTCACCCTCTTTTTTGGGGGGAGGGAAAGGTGCGTCTTATACTCTGAATGCAGCATTTTTTTAGCCTCCCGAAACCCCGCCCCCTTTGCAAAAATGGGTGTGCAGAGGGTTTGGGAGGCTTGCAAAGTGCTGCTGGGGGCTGGGGTGGGCAAAAACGAGCGAA